CCCAGATGCAGCGCATCTGGCCCCATGGACTTGTGCTTGTCCAGCTTTTCTAAATAGTCCCGAACCACTTCTTTCTCCACAGAGAGATGGTCACTTTCTCCCCATGCTGTGCTTCCCCGTGCAGTAGTCTGGGAGCTGAAGACAGAAGCAAAAAAAGCACTGAGTACATTAGCTTTTTCCATATCCTCTGTCACTAGGTTGCCTCCCTCATTCAGTAAGGGGCCCACACTTTCCTTGACTTTCTTCTTGTTGCTAACATACCTGAAGAAACCCTTCTTGTTACTCTTAACATCTCTTGCTAGCTGCAACTCCAGGTGTGATTTAGCCTTCCTGATTTCACTCCTGCATGCCCGAGAAATATTTTTATACTCTTCCCTGATCATTTGTCCAATCTTCCACTTCTTGTAAGCTTCTTTTTGTGTTTAAGATCAGTAAGGATTTCACTGTTAAGCCAAGCTGGTCGCCTGCCATATTTACTATTCTTTCTACACATCGGGATGGTTTGTCCCTGTAACCTCAATAAGGATTCTTTAAAATACAGCCAACTCACTTTAAAATACAGAAAAAAGAAAAGGAGTACTAGGGGCACCTTAGAGACTAACCAATTTATCTGAGCATAAGTTTTCGTGAGCTACAGCTGACTTCATCGGATGAATCTGATGAAGTGAGCTGTAGCTCATGAAAGCTTATGCTCAGATAAATTTGTTAGTCTCTAAGGTGCCACTAGTACTCCTTTTCTTTTTGTGAATACAGACTAACACGGCTGTTACTCTGAAACCTTTAAAATACAGATCTCTCTTCCATCTCGTTGATTGTTTCAGACCCAGTGCCCTGTCTTCAATTAATTTAAACAATGTGATAGTGTTTAGTGATATTTATTAAAGCATGCCAGAGATGAGTTATCTCAGAGGTGGAACAAAGTAGATTGGCAGGGCTTAGGTGAGGTCTTTACGCCAGGTATTTGGAATTCAGTTGAGCAGGAATAGGTGATTTTTGATATTTTTTTTCATAAAAAGTAATAAAAATGGCAGTCCCATGTTTCTGTGCTATCATACGCTACATAAATTCTGTATGCATGCTGATTGTGAATTTAATATTTTATTTTGATAAGCTATTATTTTAATGTTGCTATTTGTATTGTTTTCTTTTTCTTACAGTTGAAATATTCAGGATAACCCAGTATTATCCACTAGATGGCATAACAGTGACATTATAATGCTCTGCTAGCTGAAGATCTTGGACTTGATTTTGATCTAACATTGGTTTTACACCAATATAACTCTACTGATTTCAGTACAGTCCCTCCTGATTTATAGAGAGACTCAGCTGAGATCAGAATCAACCCTTTTTCTCAAAGCAATGTATCTATCAGTATTTGGGGGGGGATTTGTCCTTTTCGGAGAAGACTCTTTGTCTGGAAGCTGGGGGACAGTTTACTTTGATTCACAGCATATGGACAACTCTGTCTACATTTTACGTCTTCTGATGGTAGTGTGTGATGCCTATGAAAGCAGAGGTTCCCAAACTGTGGTATGCAAGGTATCAGTGGCCCAAGGAGGTCTTCCCAGAGGGCACATGGTGCTGACTTCTCCTCCTTATCTTCAGCAGCTATTTTACATTACAAGACTGATAAAAATATATTAAATATTTACCTAATATTATTATTCCTTGTAAGCAATTGTTGTTGTTGCCACAGGGATGTTACAGGATGGGAGGAGAGGTAGATCACAAAACAACCCAGTTGCCCCAAGAGAGGGGAAAAAGAAATGCTTCTGAGCAGTATTATCTCTCATCTATTTATTTTTAGAGCTTCCATCCCTGTAGCATTAGGGTGCTGAGTTGAGGGTTAAATAACTGTCTGATTATGAACCATCTTCTCTGTTCCTCTTGAGGCAAAATCATGTTTCATGTGCCCATATTAGGCAGAGGAAAAACAAGGGGGGGCTGATTTTCAGAGGTACTGGTCCCCAAAATTCTTTTTGAAGTCAGTGGAAGGTGTGGGTACTCAGTATCTCTGAAATTCAGACCCCTGGCCATTTTGTATTCCTCCTTATTGTGGGAAAGGCTGCATGAAGAGGTGTGTCTTTCCCAGCGCCCAGAACAAGGATGAGTGTTCCATACAGTGTACAGTGTTCTGAAAGTGAACTGGAAAGACAGTAATGTGCTTTTGAACTGATCAGACCTTGTTGTGGAGGCTGGTCGTGTAAAGTTTCATTTAGCATTCTGCAGTATAAAACTCTGTCGAGTGCTTGTTAGAAGTCTCAGGATTGATCAGTTGCAGCCCTCTTCTCCAAGGATGGCCGCCATTGGCCAATGAGTACTGCAGTATCATACAAGGATGTAAAAAGAAAAGGAGTACTTGTGGCAAGTTAGAGACTAACCAATTTATTTGAGCATAAGCTTTCGTGAGCTACAGCTCACTTCATAGGATGCATACTGTGGAAAATACAGAAGATGTTTGTTTTTATACACACAAATCATGAAAAAATGGGTGTTTATCATTACAAAAGGTTTTCTCTCCCCCCACCCTACTCTCCTGCTGGTAATAGCTTATGTAAAGTGATCACTCTCCTTACAATAATCAAGGTGGGCCATTTCCAGCACAAATCCAGGTTTTCTCCCCCCCCACACACCCCCTCCCCAAACAAACCCACTCTCCTGTTGGTAATAGCTTATCTAAAGTGATCACTCTCCTTACAATGTGTATGATAATCAAGGTGGGCCATTTCCAGCACAAATCCAGGGTTTAACAAGAACGTCTGAGGAAGCGGGGATGGGGGGTGGGGGGGGGAGGGGTTTAGGAAAACAAGGGGCAATAGGTTACCTTGCATAATGACTTAGCCACTCCCAGTCTCTATTCAAGCCTGCGTGGTCCAGTCCACACAAGAGATCCACTTCCTGGACACTACAGTGCTAATAAACGATGGTTACATAAACACCACCCTATACCGGAAACCTACTGACCGCTATTCCTACCTACATGCCTCCAGCTTTCACCCTGACCACACCACACGATCCATTGTCCACAGCCAAGCTCTAAGATACAACCGCATTTGCTCCAACCCCTCAGACAGAGACAAATACCTACAAGATCTCTATCAAGCATTCTTAAAACTACAATACCCACCTGCAGAAGTGAAGAAACAGATTGATAGAGCCAGAAGAGTTCCCAGAAGTCACCTACTACAGGACAAGCCTAACAAAGAAAATAACAGAACGCCACTAGCCGTCACCTTCAGCCCCCAACTAAAACCCCTCCAACGCATTATCAAGGATCTACAACCTATCCTGAAGGATGACCCAACACTCTCACAAATCTTGGGAGACAGGCCAGTCCTTGCCTACAGACAGCCCCCCAACCTGAAGCGAATACTCACCAGCAACCACATACCACACAACAGAACCACTAACCCAGGAACCTATCCTTGCAACAAAGCCCGTTGCCAACTGTGCCCACATATCTATTCAGGGGACACCATCAGAGGGCCTAATCACATCAGCCACACTATCAGAGGCTCATTCACCTGCACATCTACCAATGTGATATTTGCCATCATGTGCCAGCAATGCCCCTCTGCCATGTACATTGGTCAAACTGGACAGTCTCTACGTAAAAGTATAAATGGACACAAATCAGATGTCAAGAATTATAACATTCATAAAAAGAAAAGGAGTACTTGTGGCACCTTAAAGACTAACCAATTTATTTGAGCATAAGCTTTTGTGATCTACAGCTCACTTCATCGGATGCATACGGCACCCGATGAAGTGAGCTGTAGCTCACGAAAGCTTATGCTCAAATAAATTGGTTAGTCTCTAAGGTGCCACAAGTACTCCTTTTCTTTTTGCGAATACAGACTAACACGGTTGTTACTCTGAAACATTCATAAACCAGTCGGAGAACACTTCAATCTCTCTGGTCATGCGATTACAGACATGAAAGTTGCGATATTACAACAGAAAAACTTCAAATCCAGACTCCAGCAAGAGACTGCTGAATTGGAATTCATTTGCAAATTGGATACAATTAACTTAGGCTTGAATAGAGACTGGGAGTGGCTAAGTCATTATGCAAGGCAACCTATTTCTCCTTGTTTTCCTACCCCCTCCCCCCCCCCCCCACCGACATTCTTATTAAACCCTGGATTTGTGCTGGAAATGGCCCACCTTGATTATCATACACATTGTAAGGAGAGTGATCACTTTAGATAAGCTATTACCAACAGGAGAGTGGGTTTGTTTGGGGGGAGTGTGGGGGGCGGGGGGAAGAAAACCTGGATTTGTGCTGGAAATGGCCCACCTTGATTATCATACACATTGTAAGGAGAGTGATCACTTTACATAAGCTATTACCAGCAGGAGAGTGGGGTGGGGGGAGAGAAAACCTTTTGTAGTGATAAACACCCATTTTTTCATGATTTGTGTGTATAAAAACAAACATCTTCTGTATTTTCCACAGTATGCATCCTATGAAGTGAGCTGTAGCTCACGGAAGCTTATGCTCAAATAAATTGGTTAGTCTCTAAGGTGCCACAAGTACTCCTTTTCTTTTTGCGAATACAGACTAACACGGCTGTTACTCTGAAACCTATACAAGGATGTGTAGTCCATCCCCTTCCACCTCCCTTCATTCTACGGTTTCCTGCCAGCCAGGAAGGCTGGCAGCCCTTTTTGTAGTAAAAATGGCTCACAGCTGTCTGCCCACATTCTTAGTGAGCACCTTATTTATAGAGCTTAAGTGGTACAGAGGGCCTTGTGTACCGGGGTGAATTTTATCCTCTAATATCAAACATTTGATTTACGGTTCTTTTATCTTCAGTTTTGAACAATAAAACTAATGATAAATGCATGAAACATAAACTGTATAGCAGATGTTTCCAAAGCAGTTTTTATTCGTGTGGCTCATCAGAATGAATTACAATAATTTATTATTATATGCATTTATTTATTTATTTATTTTAATTAAAGTAGTGCCTAATGAAATCTCAGCCCTAAAGTGCTAAGCTCTGTACAAACATATGGTGGAAGTCGGTCCCTGGCCCAAACAGTTTACAAGCTAAATACATGTATTGCAAAACCACTTAAACAAATTTACACTCCACAGTGTTTTTCATGTTATTTAGAGTGGGACTTAATCTTCAACGGGAGCAGAGTTAGGCCAGTGCTGGGTGCTTTCGAAAATCCCACACTACATTCTTAAGTCTGTGCTCAAGTATCCTTCAAGCTCCCTACCTTGCCCATGCTCTAGTTTGTCTCATCCATCTGTTATATCTTATCTTTTAAAACACAAGTTCTTTGGGTGCGCAGGGACTGTCACTTACTGTTTGACTGTATAGTGCCTAGCACAATGCAGCCCCACTCTCTGTCTGAGATTTCTGTTTTTTCTTAATCATGCTACCAAATCACTATGACTTTATATTTCACATTTCACTTTATTTTACCTGAAAAAAAGAAAAACTACACACAGTTTTAGAATGATGAAAAGTAGAAAGGTGCCCCCAGGGTAACTGGCAGACAAAGATTTAGATGTTGTGCAAACACAGCATCAAGACAGATTTTCAGTCTGAAATAAATTCAGTTTTGAACAACCACCAGTTATTTAAATTTTAAGACTTATTTGTACTGCATCTTAAGCAAAGATAAAAGCTGCCATAAATCACACAGTTGACAGAGAACTTATAATTAACAGAATTGCCAGCCCACAAGCATCAGCTGGACTGTCAGATCAAGAAAAAACATCTATTATGTTAAGAAAAGCTCCCTCTGGGTACTAACAGAGTTTTACCTTTCTCTCCTTTTGCTATTACCCGTTGTGTTTTTTGTGATGATGACTGGGTTTTGCTTGTTTTACTTTGGTTAATTCAAGTCTGTTCAGCTAGCACAAACACTTTGAAATAAGGGAATAGCCAGTGGATCCTGCCACTGTGGCTTCATGGATTTTTCTCTGAGCTCTGGGCTTCTCCAGTATTTATGTCTCAGAATGGACCATATTTTTCAAACACTGGATCTTGCAAGATTTACCAGGGGAGTAATAGAAAAGTGTTCTGTGAGTTACAGGGGCAGGAACCAGTGAAGAGGCTACAGGTGGCTGCTTCCAAAAGGGGCAGGATGAAGTGGGCTACCTGCCTATCCCAGTCAAAAGGCTCTGCCATGAGAAGAGGGAGTGGACAGCTATTCTATTTCCAACAGAGGCATTATTTTATATATTTGATTAATATTAAGATAAAACATTATTTATTCAACTGAATACTAAAAGTCAGTCGTCATCCTATTCCTATGTGTCGCCAAATATGTTTTCTCGCTGAGGCTGTAAGCCACTGATGAAGTTGGTTAAAGCTTTGAGTCAGTTGGACATTTATAAAATCATGTCTCATGCTCTCATTAACGATTTCAATATAAGCAGGAGGCTCAGTTTTTCTGTTGTGAAGATGCTAATTTATCTCTGCTGACTCCATCTCACTGCTGTGTGGCTTGTTAACTCCACTCTGGGGCTAAAGGAATGGCTCTTTAGGCAGAGGGATGTATGGCTTGGGACAGAGAATTCCTACAGGGAGAGACCTGAGAACTGCCAAGCCTGGGGAGAATGTTTGGACTGAAATTTATTATTTTTTTTTGGTAATAAACTCAACCCTCAGGAGGATGGAGAGTTTGACCCTATGCAGACTAAAGCAGGCAGGGAAGAATTGCCATGCAAATTGAATTTTTACAAAAAGTTATTTTTGGAATTTGTAAATTAAACTTTTAGAAGTTTATCCCAGTTTGTTCATGTGATAGTTAACTTGCCTGCCAGAGTAAAGTCAATGGCATGCTCCTTCTTCACTTAAAATTTAGTAAACCAGATAATAAGCATTTACTGTTATTATACAGGAATATTGAAAACTAACAAATCTTTCTCATTCACAACTGGCCTGTCCAGAGCTTCTGTAGTAAGTGTTTGTAATCCATCTCCCTTACTGCCAGTGGGAAATATCTTAGGGCTTGTCCACATGGGAAATTTACTGGAATTGATATTGCAGAATAGGTAGTTTTAAATTCACACCTTACTATAAACCAAAACAAGTTTCAAATATAGACAAGCCCTTAGAAAGTTGCTGTGACACAGTTAAGCCAGATTTTCACAATGATAAAAAGTTATACAAAGTATAAAATCAAGATGACAATATTTTATACAGAAAATGAGATACACAGCCAGATTTTATGAAAAGGGGAATGACTGTGAAATGTGAGATGAGTAGCTCTACCCAGGATCGGACAGGTTTTCAGTTTGAAAATAAATTCATTGTTGAACAATCAAGCCGGAGCATTTTACAGCTCACAATCACTTTCATTGCTTTTCGAAACCAAGGATAAAAGACAGAGTAAATCAATGGGTTAACGGCAGAGTTGGAATAAGTGAACCAAAGCAGAATATCAAAGACAAGGGGTGGTGTTATGAAGTTAAAAAAAGCATCAATTATTACAATTATAGAATAAGGTGTCCAGAATACCACGAAAGCAATCACAGCAATACCAATGGTTTTAGCAGCTTTCCTCTCTCTTCTGCTAACTCTGTCACTGCAAGTTTCAGACGACTGGGTGTTGTTGCTCATCATCTCAATCATTCTAGCTTGTCGTTTAGCCACAGCAAAGATCTTGCTGTAAAGTGCTATTGTTGTAAAAAAAGGTATTAGATAAAGGAGAGAGGTTACAACCACCCACGTTTTGTTGAAAAGAAGTTGACAGCTCCCGACACAGGAGAGAACGTTTACTAATTCTTGTACCCCTTTCTCATTAGCCCCAGTGAAGACAACCGAAAAACTGAATACTAATGAAAATATCCAGGCAACAGCTATGCACATGCCTGAAACTGGCACTGTGAACTTGAAAGGGTAAATTAACGGATCAGTAACAGCAACGTAGCGATCAACAGAGATGAAACACAAGTGAAATATTGATGAAAAACAAAAAGATACTTCTAAAGAACTATGGAATCTACAGAATGTTTCCCCAAAATACCAGCATGTTTCCACAGATCTTATACTGCTGAAGGGCAGCACCGTCAGACCCAAACAAAAATCAGCACATGCCAAGGAGGCGAGCAAAATATTTGTAGGAGAGTGAAGCTGTTTGAAATAAGCAATTGTAATCATTACCATTAGGTTACCACCTAGTGTAAGAATTGTCAGAAAACTAAGCACAACATACAAAGTTATGCGGATTCCAGAAGACCACGATGTTTTATAGCAGGATCCATTAATATTCTCAAAGCAATATTGTGTTTCTTCATTCTGAAGAAGCGCTGAAGTCATGTTGTGCTTTTGTTGTTAACTACTCTGAAATTTTTAGTGTTTGCGTTTGTATACCAATGGTGATGCTGTGGCACTGGTTGATCAAGCTCTTCACTTTTTAAATCTTTCTGAAAAAGAGAATTAAAGTCAACATGAGTGAGAGTACAGTAATTCCAAAGTGTTGCATTATGTCCATCAGTAGACTAAAAATGTGTACGTAACTAGGAAGTAAATAATAGAACATATCAAAATATCTGTTGTAACTACAGCTTTCAATGGCATTTTGAAATAGGTAAACAAGTAGCAAAAATACTTTATAATTGAAAAGTTTCTCCTGTGCTATAATATAGAATTTATTTTTACCTATTCATATTTATTTAAATTTCCTCGATGCCTGATCTTTCTGTTTAAGTCAATTGCAAAACTCCCATTGACCTCACTGTAGTTGAATGGGTTTCAGAGTAACAGTCGTGTTAGTCAGTATCCTTCTTGTAGCTGAATGGACTGCTAATGCCTTACCTTTTGAGAAGCTTTTCTTCAGATAGAACCCTGGATTAAAATGTGAATAGAAGGCAGGAAGAGACGCATGTTTTCAGTAGTGCTTTATCCTCAGAGTTCTCTTAGCAAAGCTAATGAGAAAATGCTGGCATGCTGTCCTCTCAAAAATGAGGGTTGGGGTTAGGGGGAAAACAGAAAGCACAAGGGAAATTTTGTGATCATCCCATCAAATGAAATCCCTCTGGTAAAGGGTGTAAACACTGATAGATGTGTAGAGTCTGGAAAAAAACCATCATTAAGGAATCTACTTTGATTTATCACAAGACAGTCCTTTAACTAAGTATATACTGTGATGAAACTAAGTCTCATTATAAGATCCTTCCTTTATTTTTTGAAGGCAAATTTAACTGTCTCCCACAGTAACCAGGTGTTATCTCAGTACTATTACTGTAAATTGCTTTGTCAGGAACACTGACTAAGGAAACTGAGGTCATAGACAATGGTATGTGTGTTAAAGAAAATCTATCCCACCTTTATTAATCTTGCAGTGGGATATTTTTATTTCTCTCTCTCTCTCTCTCTCTCTTTCTTTCTCTTATATTTTGGACATTTTCCCATACTCTGTGCCAAACTCGTTCCAGTGCTAAGAATGGAGTAAGGGTTGAGGCAGCTTATGTCATCCCAATGTGTCTGCTGTGGTCCAGTCCAGCCCCCAGTGCAAATTGGGGGGGCCCTAAATTGTACTCTAGTTACCACGGCTTCTATGGGCTTCTGGCTTTGGAATAGCCAGGGTGCAGAACTTAATTACACCTGGCCAGGCTGCCAGAATCCCCCCTCCCTCCTCTGGCCTATCCCCAGCCTGCCCCAGAAGTTCCCCTGCCCCATTGGTTTTGGAAGTGTAATGTCCGTGGAAGAAGCTCTGATCTGCCCTGGAGGCCACATGCTAAAGGACTGTGCAGCTGCTGGGCTGGTGATGGCAAAGGAGCTGTGGGTCACATATGATTTAGGTCCTGTCTTCCTCAATGAATTTGAGTAGGTGTAGAAGTATGGTCGAGATGGAGCTTCCTTTCCAAACCTATATTCTCCATGGCTTATAGGTTCCTCAGAAATGCAGATTGATCCTTTAGTGGTGTTCAGGCCCTTAGGCCTGGTCTATATTATGAACTTATGTTGGTGTAACTACATCGCTCAGGGGTATGAAAAATTCACACCCCTGGGCTCCACTGCAGTTAAAGTGATCTCACCCCCAGTGTGGCCAGCAGTAGGACTATGGGAAAATTCTCCCATCAACCAAGCTACCGTCTCTCGGGGAACTGGATTACCTACACCAACAGGAGAACCCCTCCCATCTGCAAAGGTAGAATCTTCTCTAAAGCCTTTCTTTCAACCCTTTGCACCCCCCCCCCACCAGCAGGAGGACATGCTGTTTTTACCTCCCTCCTCCAGCCAGGAGGGGGACGCACTGTTTTAACTGCACTCCACCCCGCTGGGAGGCAGACAAGCTGTTTTCACACACAGCCACTTATTCTGCATTTGTTAGTTGTGCATTTGATTTTTCCTTCTTAAGTGAAGTACTTTGCACTTGTCTTTATTGAATTTCATCTTGTTGAATTCAGATGTTACTTAACCTGTGAGCTCTTCAGGGCAGAGACTGTTTTTTGTTATGTGTTTGTGCCTAGCACTGTGGAGTCCTTGATCCCTGCTTGGAGCCCTTAGGTGCTACCACAATACCATCATACTAAGAAGAAGTTCAAAAACTTAGAAGAAGAAAAACCCAAACAAACGAAAAAATATTAGCTGAAGTTCTGATATCAATACTCATTCCACATCACTCCTCCAGCTCAATGACTGTTTCAGACCCTGTGCGCTCTCTCTTCAATTAATTTAAACAATTTGATAGTGTTTAGTCATAGTTATTAAAGCATGCCAGAGAGGAGTCATCCCAGAGGTGGAACAAAGTAGATTGGCAGGGCTTAGGTGAGGTCTTTATGCCAGCTATTTGGAATTCTGTTGAGCAGGGATAGGTGTTTTTTGATATTTTTTTACATAAAAATAATACAAATGGCCCTCCCATTTATGCGTGCTATCATCCACTACATAAATTGTGTATGCATGCTGACTGTGGGTTTAATATTTCATTTTGATTAGCAATTATTTTAATGCTGCTATTTGTATTGTTTTCTTTTTCTTACAGTTGAAATATTCAGGATAACCCAATAGATGGCACAACAGTGATGTTATCCTGCTCTCCTCCGTTAGCTGAAAATCTTGGGATTGATTTTGATCTCACATTGGTATTACACCAATATAACTCTACTGATTTCAGTACAGTCACTCCTGATTGACAGAGGCTCAGCTGAGATCAGAATCCACCTACCAGTATTTTGTTTTGCATTTGTATTTGTGATCAAAAATGTCCTTTTCAGAGAAGACACTTTGTCTTGAACCTGGGTGACAGTTTACTATGATTCACAGCATATGGACAACTCTGTCTACATTTCATGACTTCTGATGGTAGTGTGTGATGCCTATGAAAGCAGGGATTCCCAAACTGTGGTTTGCTGGCTATCAGTGGTCCATGCAGATCTTCCCGGTGGGCACATGGTGCTGGCTTCTCCTCCTTATCTTCAGCAGCTATTTTACATTACAAGATAGATAAAAATATATTAAATATTTACCTAGGATTATTATTGCTTGTAAGCAATTGTTGCTGTTGCCACAAGGATGTTACAGGATGGGAAGAGAGGGAGATCACAAAACAGACCAAATTGCCCCAAGAGAGGGGAAAAAGAAATGCTTCTGTGAAATTTTATCTGTCAGACTGTCTCATTTATTTATTTCTAGAGCTTCCATCCTTGTAACATTAGGGTGCTCAGTTTAGGGTTATGTAACCATCATATTCTGAACCATCTTCTCTACTCCTCTTGAGGCAAAATCATGTTTCATGTGCCCATATTAGGCAGAGGAAAACTAAGGGGAATGAGAGGAAAAACAAGGAGGGGGGACTGATTTTTCAGAGGTACTGGTCCCCAAAATTCTTTTTGAAGTCAATGGAATGTATGGGTACTCAGCAACTCTGAAATTCAGACCCCCGGCCGTTCTGTATTCCTCCTTATTTTGGGAAAGGCTTCACAAAGAGATGTGTCTTTCCCCGCGCCTGAAAAGAGAATGAGTGTTCCATACAGTGTACGGTGTTCTGAAAGTGAACTGGAAAGAGAGTAATGTGCTTTTGAACTGATCAGACCTTGTTGTGCAGGCTGGTCATGTAAAGTTTCACTGAACATTCTGCAGTATAAATCTCTGTTGAGTGCCTGTTACAGGTCTTAGGATTGATCAGTCGCAGCCCCCTTCTCCAAGGAGGGCTGCCATTGGCCCGTGAGCACTGCAGTATCATACAAAGGCGTGTGGCCCATCTCCTTGCACCTCCCCCCATTCCAGAGTCTCCTGCCAGCGGTAAGGTAGTACATATGGTTCACAGCCATCTGCACACATTCTTGTTGAACACTTTCTTTATAGAGCTTAAATGGTATAGAGAGCCTTGTGTATTTTATCCTCTAATATCAAACATTTGATTTACGCTTCTTTTATCTTCAGTTCTGAACAATAAAACTAATGATAAATGCATGAAATGATAAACTGTATAGCAGATGTTTCCAAGGCAGTTTTTATTAGTGTGGCTCATCTGAATGAATAACAATATTTTATTATTTTATGCATTTATTTATTTGTTTGTTTTAAAGTAGTGCCTAATGAAAACTCAGCCCTCAGTGTGCTAGGGTCTGTATAAACATATGGTGGAAGATGGTCCCTGGCCTACACAGTTTACAAGCTACAGTAATTACATGTATTGCAAAACCACTTAAACAAATTTACACTCCATAGTGTTTTGCCTACTATTTGGAGTGGGACTTAATATTCAGCAGGGGCAGAATTAGGCCAGTGCTGGGTGCTTTCAAAAATTCCACACTACATTATTAAGTCTGTGCACAAGTATCCTTCATCCTCTGCACCTTGCCCATCCTTTTGTTTGTTGAATTAAAAAAAAATTATTTTTGGAATTTGTAAATTAAACTGTTAGATTTTATTAACAAAATCCAGTTAGTTCATGTGATACACAGATAACTTGCCTACTACAGTAACGTCAATGGCATGCTCCTACTTCACTTACAATTTATCAAATGAGATAATAAGCACTTTACTGTTAGTATACGACAATATTGCAAATTAACAAATCTTTCTCATTCACAACAGGCCTGTCCAGGGCTTCTGTAGCCAGTGTTTGAAATCCAGATCCCTTGCTGCCAGTGGGAAATATCTTAGGGCTTGGCTACATGGGAAATTAACTGGAATTGATACAGCAGAGTAACTAGCTATTGCGCTTTAAATTCACACCTTACTTTAAACCAAAATAACTTTCAAGTATAGAATGTTGCTGTGACACAGAAGACTGTTGTGACTGGATTTTCTCCTGTAATGGAAAGGACAGTTTTCTCTCAAAACAGCAGGGGTAAAATCTTGGTCCTGTTGATCTCAAGGGGAGTTTTATCCTTGACTTCATTGGTATCTGGATTTCACCTTAGTTTATTGTGTTCTTTTAGTTTCTTTTATTACTTTCTTTTTATTACTTTATTACTCCCTTGTGTGAGGAACCCTTGTGCACATGAAAGAGTCTTATTTCAACTCAATACTTCCCTGAGAGAAAGGTTGGTCTTGCGGTTAAGGCACAGAGCTGGACATTTCCTATGTGAAAATGGTCAAGTCAGTTCCGGCTTATTCTTGCTCCCATTAAAAGTCAAGGGAGTTTTGCCACCAATTTAAAAAGTAGCAGGATTGGATCCTTGATATCTTTGGTTGGGGTTTTCAAAGGAGACTAATGGAGTTAAACTTCCATCTCCCTCTGAAATTCAATGTTCTTATTCATGAAATGAGGATAATAATATCTATTACATATGCGTGTTGGGGGACTTAATTCATTAGTAAAGAATTTGAACACCCATAGGCTGACAGTAATATATAAGTATAAAATGTTAGTATTTATACTATTTATTTGGTAAAAAAAAGATGTCATATAGGTTTTAAAGGGATGGGAAATCATTTCTGGTTTTCAGTATTGTTAGTACTTCCTAACGAACAGAGATGAATTTCACTGAAAAACTAATTTTTGATCTTTCTTTTTTTGCCTTTGTTTAATTCTGGAGGGCCATTTGATGAAGTGAGCTGTAGCTCACGAAAGCCTATGCTCAAATAAATTTGTTAGTCTCTGAGGTGCCACAAGTCCTCCTTTTCTTTTATCTTCTCAGTTTCACAATTCCAACCAATGGACATTGCTCTATTATTGTTTCATACCATAATCTAGTATTAAATTAACAGTATCTGTAAATAAATTGTCTTGATATCATGTGATAAATCAGTTTTTCACAATGAGAAAAGTTATACAAAGTATAAAATCAAGATGACAATATTTTATTCAGAAAAAGAAATACACAGCCAGATTTTATGAAGAGGGGAATGCCTGTGAAATGTGAAGTGAGTAGCTGTATGCAGAATCGGACAGGTTTTCAGTCTGGAAATAAATTCATTCTGGAACAATCAAGCCGGAGCATTTTACAGCTCACAATCACTTTCATTGCTTTTCGAAACCAAGGATAAAAGACAGAGTAAATCAAAGGATTAATGGCAGAGTTGGAATAAGTGAACCAAACCACAATGTCAAAGAGAAGGGGTGGTGTTATGAAGTTAAAAAAAGCATCAGTTATTACAGTTATAGAATAAGGTAACCAAAATACCACAAAAGCAATCACAGCAATACCAATGGTTTTAGCAGCTTTCCTCTCTCTTCTGCTAACTCTGTCACTGTAAGTTTCAGATGACTGGGTGTTGTTGCTCATCATCTCTATCATTCTAGCTTGTCGTTTAGCCACAGCAAAGATCTTGCTGTAAAGTACTATTGTTGTAAAAAAGGGTATTAGATAAAGGAGAGAGGTTACAACCACCCATGTTTTGTTAAAGAGAATCTGACAGCTCCCTACACAGGAGAGGGCATTTATTAACTCTTGTATCCCTTTGTCATTAGCCCCAGTGAAGACAACCGAAAAACTGAATACTAATGAAAATATCCAGGCAACAGCTATGAATATGCCTGAAACTGTCACTGTGAACTTGAGAGGGTAAATTAAAGGATCAGTAACAGCAACGTAGCGATCAACAGAGATGAAACATAAGTGAAATATTGATGAATAACAAAAAGATACTTCTAAAGAACTATGGAATCTACAGAATGTTTCCCCAAAATACCAGCATGTTTCCACAGATCTTATACTGCTGAAGGGCAGCACCGTCAGACCCAAACAAAAATCAGCACATGCCAAGGAGGCGAGCAAAATATTTGTAGGAGAGTGAAGCTGTTTGAAATAAGCAATTGAAATCATTACCATTAGGTTACCACCTAGTGTAAGAATTGTCAGAAAACTAAGCACAACATACAAAGTTATGCTGATTCCAAAAGACCACGATGTTTTATAGCAGGATCCATTAATATTCTCAAAGCAATATTGTGTTTCTTCATTTTGAAGAAGCACTGAAGTCATGTTGTGCTTTTGTTGTTAACTACTCTGAAATTTTTAGTGTTTGCGTTTGTATACCAATGGTGATGCTGTGGCACTGGTTGGTCAAGCTCTTCACTTTTTAAATCTTTCTGAAAAAGAGAATTAAAGTCAACATGAGTGAGAGTACAGTAATTCCAAAGTGTTGCATTATGTCCATCAGTAGACTAAAAATGTGTATGTAACTAGGAAGTAAATAATAGAACATATCAAAATATCTGTTGTAACTACAGCTTTCAATGGCATTTTGAAATATGTAACAAGTAGCAAAAATATTTTATAATTGAAAATATTCTCCTCTGCTATGAAATAGAATTTATTTTTACCTATTCATATTTATTCATTTAAATTTCTTTGATGCCTGATCTTTCTGTTTAAGTCAATTGCAAAACTCTCATTGACTTCATTGTAGTTGGATCGATTCTTAATTCCTTACCTTTTGAGAAGCTTTTCTTCAAATATAGCCATAGATTAAAATGTGAATAGAAGGCAGGAAGAGATGCTTGTGTTCAGTAGTGCTTTATCCTCTTAGTTGTCTTAGCAAAGTTAATGACACAGTACATGCACTCTGTCCTCTCAAAACTAAGGGGTGTGGTGAGGGGAAAAACAGAAAACACAAGGGAAATTTATTTATCATCCCAGAAAGTGAAATCCCTCTGGTAAAGGGTGTAAACACTGACAGATGTGTAGAATCTGAAAAAACATCATTAAGCAATCTATTTTGATTCATCACAAGACAGTCCTTCAACTAAGTATATACTGTCATGCATATGTTTGACTTAAGTCTCATGATAAAATCCTTCCTTTATTTTTTCAATGCAAATTTAAATGTCTCCCACAGCAACCAGGTGTTATCTCAGTATTATTACTAAATTGCTTTTTCAGGAATATTGATGGAGCAAACTGAGGTCATAGGTAATGGTATGTGTGTTAACGAAAATCAATCCCACCTTTATTAATCTTGCTGTGGGGTATTTCTCTCTCTCTCTCTCATTTTGGCCATTTTTCTACTACTCTCGAGGCCAAACTCATTCCACTGCTAAGATTGGAGCAAGGACTGAAGCAGCTTGTATCATCCCGATGTGTCTGTTGTGCTCCAGTGCAGCTCCCAGTGCAGACTAGGACAGCCCTGAATTGCACTCTAGCTTGTACGGCTTCTATGGTCCTCTGACTGTTGAATAATCAGGGTGCAGAACTACCCTAACTACACTGGCCAAAGTGCCAATATACCCCCTCACTCCTCTGGCCTACCCCCGACCTGCCCCAGATGTTCCCCTGCCCCATGGTTTTCTGCATGTGAAAAGTTGATGGAGCAAGCTCTGAACGTGGCAGGGTTCGTCTGCCCTGGAGGTCACTTGCTGGGGAACTGTGTGTCTGTCATGCTGGTGAGGGCAAAGTAGCTGTGGGTCACATATGATTTAGGTCCTTTCTTCCTCAATGAGTTTGAGTAGGTGTAGAAGTATGGTCAAGATGGCGCTTCCATTCCAAAGCTATATTTTCCATGGCTTATAGGTTCCTCAGAAATGCAGGTCGATCCTTTAGTGGTGTTCAGGCCCTTAGGCCTGGTCTATATTATGAATTTATGTTGGTATAACTACATCGCTCAGGGGTATGAAAAACCACACCTCTGAGCGCCACAGTTACTGCGATCTCTCCCCCAGTGTGGACAGCAGTAGGTCAATGGGAGAATTCTTTCATTAACCTAGCTATTGCCTCTCCAGGAGGTGGATTATCTACGCTGATGGCATAGGTAGCATCTTCTCTGAAGTGCTACAGGGCGCCACGTGGCAGTTTATATGTAGACAAGCCCTTATAAACCTTATTCAAGTGGCATAAGTTAAAGCAGCTGAGGGAGCAGGATTGGCACAGGCTCAGAAAGCCACAATCATCTCCCTGAGAACATGTAATGATTTGGGGAATTGTCTGTACTGTCACCAAGGCAACTGTAACCCGTATCCCACCTCTGTGGTTCCTCAAGGGCATCCAATCTAGGCTCCCAGTGCCTCAGCCACCACCTAGCCTGGGAAGAGACCTGCTCTCTTCCTCCTGATCAGGGTGTTTCCAGGCTTCACGTTTCCCTGCTTACACTATGATATCCCCAGCAAGCCAGGCTGCCTAAATAGGCCAGCATCTGTGCTTTGCTCTCTCTCTGAAGGCTCTGAACAGCTGTAAATGCCAGCTGTTACAAGTTACCACACACGAATTTATAAACAAGCACTTTATTCTTAAGGTGGAAGTATTACCAAGAAAACATATTAAAAACAGTGAAAGTTTACCAGAGATAATGCATGCTAAAAAGCTTCCTAGAGGACACTCCAACTCCATCCTTGGGATCAGTCCTTCAAAACCCACAACTAGGGTTTTCCATGTGCCTACTAGTTCATAACGGTCTCAGATTCAGAATCAGAACAACCATGAATAATTCAGTCTTTCCTTTATATAGTTTTGGTCTTTGATCTTGACCTTATGTGATCAGCAGTCAATGGCTTACTCCTCAGGGCATAGCTTCAAAAGGCTGGGTTGTTGAATAACCAGAGGTGGGGAATTTGCATACACCTCTCCTGTATATCCCAGGAAGTTCACTTCACACATATTGTCCCCAAAGTCCATTTTTGTCATGCACATTGTCCAACATAGTCTTTTGATCATCACATCTCCCAACTAGAGAGGTTACATATGACCCTGGCCCAAAATTATACATAAACTGTTAATTTAATACAATGGATCCCAAAGAAACTTAAACTTAATTCAGTAAGGTTTGTCAATGATTTTGCAGGAAATTGTATCTCTAACATGTAAAATTTATGAATTCTGTGTGAGATGATGAGATCTCTGAATGTATCCTTACTACGCTGCAAACTGCATTTTGAAGGTGAGAATTGGTTTGTCAGGGGAGAGATTGCCTGATAACAAAGTTACTTGGTAGGACCCTAAGGTCATCTGTTAAGACTGACCAGGGAGTCACACGTCTGAGGGACTGGAAGGTTATAAAAGGGCAGAAGCTGCTCTGTTTGGGATTTGTTGGCCATTTTCACAAGCTCAGGATGAGGGAAACGACTTCAAGAGCCTGTGAAGGGGTTGTGTGTGTGGGGATGAACTCTGTCTACCTGAATACTGGTCCCCTAAGGACTTCCAAAGGAAGGGTGAGCTAGAGTGAGGGGCAGTATTTAGGATGTTTGTTGTGTTCTATATGATCTGTAATCTGTATTTTCTGTGCTTAAATAAAGAGAAATAATGTATTCGAATTCTGTGAAAGGTGTTTTTGTGTTATATGCTATACCTACCATGTGGCCCTTTAAGGAGGTAACCCATAAGGCCAACACTTTTGAGAGGAGTTCTGAGAGAGGGTTTGTTTTAAGCTACAGAGGAACCTGAGGAGTCAGCACAAAGCCCGGGTGCTTGGCAGCTGGGCCATGTGGTCACAGTTCTCAGGGGGGATGCTAAACAGACAGCTGCCATGGCTTCCCAAGAGTCTGCACCCCAAGAGCGTGCCTAGAGACCCCAAGACAGGGGCAGTGACTAGACCCTGTTCAGACTCTGAGGGGCTTAAAATACCTGGAGGCCAGTGGCTGGGTCACCTCACAGCTGGCTGAGCCACCAGCAGGTGAAGCCCAATCAGATCTGTGCCTGGGCCCTCTTCTGTTCCTGTGCCCATGCTCCTCATTGTTATTATTCATATGCATATGTATTTATAAGTTTGGGGCCTATGCTTCAGTGTTCCAGGTAGGGATAGGTTTGTTTGAAATGACTGAGACAAAACTCAGTATTTCGGAAAGTCATTCCAAACTGTTACAAGTCCAAGCGAAAGGCTTATGTGCTGAGAATAAACATTGTTAAAGAAAAAAATGGTCTTGAGTTAGGATCTGTACCTACTCGTGTCACCACTGCATAAGTTTCCTTTACATTAGTAAACTACATAAGAATAGCCATACTGGGTCAGACCCACGGTCCATCTAGCCCAGTATCCTGTCTTCTGACAGTAGCTAATGCCAGATGCTTCAGAGGGAATGAGCGGAACAGGGCACTTATTGAGTGATCCATCCTCTGTTCTCTAGTCCCAGCTTCTGGCAGTCAAATGCTCAAGGACACCCAGAGTATTGGGTTGCATCCCTGACCATCTTGGCTAATAGCCATTGATGGACCTATCCTCCATGAACTTATTTAGTTCTTTTTTTAACATAGTTATACTTTTGGCCTTTACAACATTCTCTGAGAAGAAGTTCCACAGGTTGACTATGTGTTGTGTGAAGAAGTACTTCCTTTTGTTTGTTTTAAACCAGCTGCCTATTAATTTTTAAGGTAACCCCTGGTTCTTGTGTTATATGAAGGAATAAATAACATGCTCCCATTCACTTTTTCCACACTAGTTAAGATTTTAAGGACTTCTCTCATATCCCCCTTAGTTGTCTCCTTTCTAAACTGAATGGTCCCACTCTTTTCAATCATTCCTCATATGGAAGCTGTTCCATATACCTAATCATTTTTGTTGCCCTTCTCTGTACATTTTCCAATTCTAATATATCTTTTTTGAGATAGGGTGACTAGAACTGCACACATTATTCAAGATGCAGTGTACCATGGATTTATATAGTGCCATTTTCTATTATTATCTATCCCTTTCCTAGCATTCTGTTAGATTTTTTGACTGCTGCTGCACATTGAGCAGATGTTCTCAGATAACTATCCAGGATGACTCCAAGATCTCTTTCTTGGCTGGTAACAGCTAATATAGACCCATCATTTTATATGTACTGTTGGGATTGTTTTCCAATGTGCATTACTTTGCATTTATCAACACTGAATTTAATCTGCCATTTTCTTGCTCAGTTACCCAGTGCTGTGAGATTCCTTTGTATGTCTTCACAGTAAGCTTTGGACTTAACTATCTTGAGTAATTTTGTATTATCTGCAAACTTTGCCACCTCACTGGTTAACTTTTTTTCCAGATAATTTATGTATATGGTGAACACCACTGATTCCAGTACAGATCTTTGTGGGACCCCATTACTTACCTCTGTCCATTGTGAAAACTGAACATTTATTCTTACCTTTTGTTTCCTGTCTTTTAACCATTTACTGATACAAGAGAGGACCTTCCCTTTTATCCCATGAATGCTTATTTTGCTTAAGAGCCTTTAGTGTGGGACCTTGTCAAAGGCTTTCTGAACATCCAAGTACACTATATTCAATGGATCAACTCGTCCACATGTTTGCTGATCCCCCTCAAAGAATTCTAATACATTGGTGAGGCATGATTTTCCTTTACAGAAGCCATGTTGACTCTTCCCCAGAAAATCGTGGTCATCTATGTGTCTGATAATTCTGTTCTTTATTATAGTTTCAACCAATTTGCCTGGTACTAAAGTTAGGCTTACAGGCCTTTAATTGCCAGGATTGCCTCTGGAGCCTTTTTAAAAAATTGGTGTCACGTTAGCTATCCTCCAGTTATCTGGTACAGACCCTGATTTAAATGATAGGTTACATGCTACAGTTAGTAGCTTTGCAATTTCATATTTGTGTTCCTTCAGAATTCTTGGGTGAATACCATCTGGTTCTGGCAACTTATTACGGTTTAATTTATC